AATTGTTTTATTCTTAACACAATTTTATCATATTTATTTATTTAAATGAAATTATAAAAGTTAAGATAATTAAATCTGACCTTTACATTCAATTGAATTTAACGAAGAGAAATGTGTTATTTTAAAATACTGATGTTGAATAAATCAGAAAATAATAACAGACAATGAGTTAAATTACTGGATATTTTATTTGTATATTCTCTTTGGAGCAAAATAAATTAGTAAGTAATTAATTATGAATTCTTTTCCATTATTACAAATATTTTTTAAAATTTCATTGATGATTAAATATCCTTTAAAAAAAACAAGAAATATATATTGTAACATAAAACTATATCATATAATTATACAATCTTTTTCTCTAGAAATAGTTTATTTGAATAAAATAGAATAAATATCTTTTCATGTCTATTTTGAAGTTGATTAACTTCATATTATTTTATTTTGTATTGTTCAGATAATAGATTTAAATATTTAACTAAAAGACAAAAATCTTTCTCATCATTATTATATACAAATTTATTATATTAAATATGTTCTTTATGAAATATTTGAATAATCAATTGAAAGTCATTGTTAATTTCATTGAAGATCTTCTAGAAAACAGAATTTAAGAATAATTTATAATAATTTTTAATCTATGATTTATTTACAATGAAAATCTTCTGATAAAATTCATTTTAACATTAGTTTATTTTGAAATAAATTTGATAATTAAATTGATAAATAAAACAGAATTATTTTTATTTGAAATATATTTTATAATCAAACAAAAAATATTTAAATAAAAATTCTATATTAATTCAAATTACAAGAAATATATTCATATTTCATCTATTATTAAAATAGTTTGTAAATTAAATAATAGAAATACAAATAAATAAAACAATAAGATGTTATTCATTGAAAATAGAATATTTTATCTATTTTATCAATATCTAATAAATTAATAAAATTAATTCTTTGTTACTATTATAGACAAAAGAGAGATCGATAAATTGAATGTTTTAGTTTTTATTTAAGGAATTATTAAACATTTTGTTGAATGAATTTGAAATAGATTTTGTTAATTTTAATTTTTAATTATGAAAAATCATTTTTATTATTGAAAAGAAAGAGAAAAAGAAATGGAAATTAATTTTCGATAGTTGAAAATTCAGGTAATTGTCTAAGTTGTCGAGCAATTTCTAATAATTTTTCAATAAACCAATGAAGATCCGATTGTTTCGTTCGATGATTAATAATACACATCCGCATAGCAAATATTTCATTATCAATAACATATGGAGAAACAACAGCAATGCCACGTTCTTGAATAAGAACTAATAAATGTTTATTTAATTTATTCAATAATTCTAAATTCGTCTTATTATTATTATGATTAAAATAATATCGAAAACAAACAATATTAAGTGAAACATTTGCAAGTACTTGTAATTCATCATGATGATATTTTTCAATTAAATTAACAAAATATTTTGCTTGATCAACATTTTGTTCCATAATTTGTCCAATTTTGTCAATTCCATAAGTTTTAAGTGTCATCCAAACTTTAAGTGATTTCATATTTCTTGATAATTCTAATGTATAATCACTAAAAAAGAACTCTCCTTCCCGTGGTGTTATTCCACCATCCATTAATGCTAAATAAAATGCATGTGGTTGAGCAAATGTTGCTCGATGTAATTCACCATGACGTATAAGAACACAACCACATTCATATGGAATAAAAAGCCATTTATGTAAATCAAATGCAATTGAATCAGCACGTTCAAGACCAATAAATAATGATCGAAGACGTGTTGAACATCGTGCAACTGCACCAATAGCACCATCAACATGAAACCATAATTTATTTGGATTAAGTGAACATAAATTAGCAAGACCTTGAAGATCATCAATCGAACCTGTGCCAACTGTTCCAGCTGAACCAACAATAAAAGCACAAGAATTTGAATCAATTGATTCTGATAAAATCTAAATAGAATGAATAATAAGAAATCTTAATAAGAAAATATTTTTCTTCTTTTCTATTTACTTTTAAATCAATTTGTCTTTGATCATTTGTTGGAATCATAATTATATTTTCTTTTTCAATACCTAAAAGTTGTGCAGCTCTGATCAGACAAGTATGTGTTTCTGATGAATAATAAACTTTCATTAATTGACCATCAAATTTCTTTTTTGCTACAGCCATCGATATAATTGTTGCAACTGAAGTACCACTTACAAGTGCACCTGAACATGTGTCATCATTTGGAAAACCCATTATAATTTTAAGCCATGATAATATTTGACGTTCAACATAAATACTTGATTGATGACCACCTGATGACATTGTATTCATTGTTGCAGTAATGAATTCTGCTAAAGCACCAATGGATGAACCATTTCCTCTAACATAACCCCAAAATCTAGGATGAATATTACCGATTGGATAAGGAAGAATGGTTTTTTGAATTTGTTCATAAACTTTCCAAGGTGATTCACCTTTTAATGGAAGTTCACTTTGCATTAATTCTGATTTTATTTCAGTTGGCATTGGACGCCATGTTGGCCGTTGACGAATATCGCGTAAATAATCAATCATATCATCCATGATTTTATGTCCTAATATTCTTGTATCTGTCCAATCAAGTGGATCAAGTGACATTTCTTCTTCATTTTGATTTTCTTCCAAATTAAGTGAGAAAATTGGAAAATGAATAAAAAATGACCAAATCTTTTTCCGATTTTGACTACCAAAATAGATTGGAAAAATGATTTCAAGACTTTTCCCATCATCAATCACACGAATACTACAATCATCTGTTGATGTTTGCATCAATAAATCAGTTAATAATTCATTTAATTCATTAGTTGTATCACAAAATCGACGAGTAAATGTTGAGCATTGATCATTATTTAATGAAATCGAATTCGTTTTTATTCCATTATGAAACAATTCTATTATTAATTCATGATTATTTGTATGATATTTGATTTGAACAGAATATTCATCATTAAGTTGCCAAATAGTGTTATTAGAGACAAAGGAAGTCATGAAAGTATTGTTGATTTACTAGAGAAAAGATATTAAGTGAATTAGATTTATTTTTATTGAAGAATATTAAAAATAAATTTATTATTTCTAAAATCAAGATTAATCATTTGGAAAAAAAGTCTATTGATTATGACAATATGAAATATGCTGAACTTAAAAAATGAATGTCAGTAATTATCTTTAGATTTTATTGATTAGTCTGAAACTTTTATGAGTATTTGCATATTATTATAAACTTTATGTAAATTATCAGAATTTTCAATTTTTTATATTTATCACTGAAATAATTGTAAAACAACTCATAGATAAGAATTATGAAAATAAATAAATTTTTATTGATTTTAATTTCAAATGATTTTCTTACCAAGTTCAAGTGTAATATTTAATTATGTTTGAATATTTTGTTGATTTCTAATACCAATGTGTGGAAGATCTTTCGTAGATAGTTGATAAAATTTGTCTCACGAAAATAATAAATGTATACGTTTGAATAAATCGAACGATTATATGTGCACGGTTATACATTATTATAGTACAAACCTACACGATATTACTGATCGACTACCCACATATTTTATTCTGTTCTACACAATAATAAAAGAGATAATATTGAATACAATGAATATGCATGAATGAGTTCACAATTTTTTGGTTGGCTAACGATATGTGTATTTTTGTAATTCGTGATTTTGTTTTGATAGTACTCATCATATTTTTATTTATAGTTGTAAATATAGAACAGAACAGATTCATTACTATAAATAATAGTTTAAGAAAGAAAGAGAATGAATAATGATAAATTACAATGATAAAATTGATTGTTAATTCATCTCATTATTTTAGTTATGTTTCAGTTAATAACAAAATATCGATTATTCATATATAGATAAATTTTTAGATTTAGAAATATAATCTAAATAAAAAATAAGTTAAATATCGAACAGTCGTTGAAGATGTTTTTATCTTTTGTAGTTTTTATTAGTTGATTAGTTTCTTTTGATAGATTGTATTGAATAATTTGAATTACTTGAAAAATCCTATTTTGCGAATGATAAATTGTATTAAATACTACTGAACATCATTATTCAATATTTTAATTTTTCATCTATAAAATAGAAATAGGGAAAAATATTTACTTTTTAATCGAATATTTTTGATAAGATTAATGTTATGATTATTGCACACTCATTCTAATAATTCTAATAGATTTGTAATGTTTAACTAATAGTAAACTTTATTTTTGATGAAACTGTAGTTGTAAGTGAGGCTAACCATTTTATAACATTTTTTAGTATCTACTAAATAAAATCTATTCAACCTAGAATTTTTAGAAATAATTATTGAATTGTTTTGTTTGTTAGTAGTTACCTTTTAAACAGATTGAATAATCCAGGACGAGAAATCTCACTGTCAAATTTATCTACGAATAAATACTGAAAAGTACAGGATTCTGTTATAGAGATTCGCATCTAGAAGATGAATAAAAATTATTATAGTTAGTAAGCTTTCAGATTTTAACAAAATATAGATGTAAATAATAAATTAAGTATTGACAGTATTCGATTAATGATGAAATTGTTATATATTCTTAAAACTATTTTGAGAAAAACTTAATATCGTTCATTTATTCATACGATTGTCTTATACTATCTGTATGATATTATACTAGAATTATTTTTGAACTTCTACTTTTTTTAGATTATTGCTTAAACAATGAGTATTAGAAAGTCAGTTGTCGAGTAAATCAGTTCATTTTGAATTTCTTTCGATTAAAACTATTTATTTTATTTTATACATTTTCTTTTACAATATTAAGAACTCATAGTAGATTTTTAAAGTTCTAAATAATTCTCTTTTGATATTTTTTTCTCTATTGAATATCATCTTTTCAAATAGAATAAACCCCCCCCCAGTTTAGAAGACCCCTGGTCTTATACTATGTCCTTGCATCTCAACTACTGGAGGGGGTCTTTTATTTAGAGGGGTCTTGTAAACTGTCATTTGTTGGTAACGACAATAAAAAAAAAAAGATTTCCAATGTTCACTATTTTATTAGCTTAATTTTATAAAACAATAACAAAATTAATAAAAATGTACAATATTAAAAACTAATGTTTATTTTTCCACATATTGTTAATTGTTAATTGAGTTAATGTAGCTTGTGAATGTTGTGCTTGTCGTTTTGAGATTGCCTCTTCAGCAACAATATCAATACGATCATCTTTATCATAATCATCATTCGTTGACAATGAGCAATCAACAGCTGTTGGATCAAATATATAGCCAGGCATTGCACGAAGTGATACAGGTGAATCATCTGTCCAAGTATAACCAATATCATGAAAGGCCTTTGCAACATCAACACTTTTCAATGTACGCTACAAGTTTATATGCATCTACTAAAGGAATTTTTTGTTTTCGTTTTGGTTTTTGTAAAGATAAATAATGACGTTTAAGAAATCGATAGAACCATTTAACTGAAGGTGTTTCATGTTTCAAGTGAACACTAATTTTTACACCTTGTCGTTGAATTTGTTTGAAGGTAACTCTTTCACGTCGAATATCAGTAGGTGGTACGATGCAATTTGGATCAAATTTAGTTCGACGTTCTCGATACCATGCTAGTAATAGCAAGTCAAGTTCAATATATTTAAGTTTCTTGCCTGCCCCACCTACTCGTCGTCGTTTTTTACCTGAAATTAACGATAAAAATAATGACATAATAAATAAAATGCATTAGAAAAGCTCACCTTTTTTTTCTTTAGAAAGATTAATTAATTTCTGTTCAGTTGATAACCATTTTCGTAACTGCGCTCTTGTACATCCATGATCTGTAGCTGTTTTCTGTTTATTTTGATTTAATTTAAATACTTTTATAATTCCAAGTTTTTCATCAATTGACCATTGACGACGTTTTCGTTTCGAGCTTTTCACAACTTTATCATCGTTAGATATAAGATCATTGGATGTCACTAACGACGAATGAGTTGATGAGGATAGAACAGATACATTTGATGGATAATATTCAGGTGCTTCATCATCTGAATTAGATTCTAAAACATCATTATTTAATGAAGAAATATTATTATTAACTACATCATGTTCAAAACCATTATCATTTATAGCATTGAATGAAGAAATATCATTATTAACAACATCATGTTCAAAACCATTATCATTTACACCATTGAATGAAGAACGAATATTACCAATAGCACCACGTGTAAAATTATAATTACTTTTATCATTTGATAATCCATGAATATCATTAATAGTATCATCATTATTTTGTAGTTCGTCGTCTGAACTAAATATCAAATTTTTAGTCATATGAATAATATCGTTTTCTTTTTCATCGACATTAGACACAACTTCAATCGAATCGCTATCGTCTGATTCGTCTGACGAACTCTGAAAGGCATCGTAACCAACGAGAGGCAATAAATGTACGTCGTCGTTTATCGACATGTTGATTTCAACTGATTGTAGTGAAAGCTTCACTATTTATACGATCGTGTTTTCATCTATTACGGAGGATAAAGGGACTATTGTTTATCGTTTCTCTGTTCTATCATAAAGCACGCCTCTTGCTTGTTTATATCTATCTTTTATTCTGTGCTATAGATATATCTGTCTGAAATACAGTAGAAGAAAAATTAGTCACAGAAAAATGCATTTAATACAAACAGAATGAAAGAAATGAAATTTTCATTAAAATACAAAATTTAAATTTTTCAACAGATTTTTTAGATATTTTTATAAGGGGGGTCTTCTAATATGGGAGGACCTTGTATTATGTCTTTCAAACCATTTGTCCATAGGGGTCTTTTAAAATGGGGGGTCTTTTATTATGGGGGGGTCTTCTAAACTGGGGGGGGGGGTTTAAAACATCCATTTATCAAATATCATTTTTTATTATATATAATATCATTTCACTATTTAAATACACTTTCTTAAGTGTCTCATGTAATCCAACATGTTCACAGATTGCTTGTTTGTATGAATCGAGATAAGTACGATAATATTTTCCTTTTATGCTTGAATATCGATAAAAAGTTGCACCAGAAAAACACGATTGTACAGGTACTAAATCGATACTACATGGATAGATTCTAAAAAATGATGACCATATATCATTGTACAATACACTCCACTTTTGATTCTGTTCATCTTTGTGTGCATATGGATCAAAATATTTTTTTGCGACCAAATAGTATATGATTATAAACACCATTTGCACAAATTGCATCGATAGTTGGATCTGTATTGAAATGAAAACCAGTTGACAGAAGTCCATCAACATAAGTATAAGTTACCAGATCAAAATCTTGTACGAGAAGATAATCATATTGTGATAGTTGAGTGTTATCTTCGATATATTTCATGTAGATATTTCGTAGCTGAACCATCTTTTCAATACGTGATAGATCTGGAAGATGATTTGGTGCAGTACGAGCTAATGATAGGTTGCATGGACGATCATCATTAACTTTATTACCACATCCAATAACATGAACTCGACCAGCAACTTTTTTATCTTGAGCCCAGCGAATTAATTGACGTCTTGTTCCATCTTTTGAATCGTTCTCTACAATAACAATGGCATAATCAGCAAACAAGCGTGTTATCTGTTCGATTTGTTGACGAATACGAGGAATTCGTGTTTCACGATCACGTACCATTCCACAAATAATGACTCGACTACGTGCTAGATGTAAAAGACCTGATTCAAGTCTAGTTCTGTTTTTTTGTGGACATTGTAAAGATTGCGGTAGAAGAAAATCATCAGTAGCAGACAATTTTGAAGTTGCAAAGATAATATGAGGAATAATGGAAAATATAAATAAGAAAACTGCAGAGATCAAGATAATAAGAAGTCCCCATCGATGACGATAATAGGAAAGATAAGACTCAGTTATATTCATTGGTCGTTCTTTGATTTTTAGAAACATTTTGTGTAGAGAATATATAAATACGTTATTTGTATCTAAAACAATACGATAATAGAAAACTATAATGTAAAATATCTTAAGAGTAGACGACAGTGTGATTAGTAATAAGAAACTTGAAACTAAAAACTTTGATATTCAACAATTGCATCAACTGATATTTACATTATTAACAATAGTTGAATACTTGAATGAACAATTGTATCATCTAATTTTATTTTAGTGTTTGTTATATATATATATAATTGCCAAAACTACTTACAAGTTTTGAAAAATATAAATATTTTGATTTATTGAAATTCCAATAATTAAATGAGTGCTGTACTATACACATCGTGCCTGCATCATGAGAAAAATAATTTGTTTGTACAAATGAGAGAAAAAGTAGGACAAGTTTTATTTCGTCTCCATAACATCAGAGTTGTTCTCTCTCTCTAGTATGACTTATTGTATTGTAAACACTCAAATATTCATTAAAAGCGACGAAATAGTTGCTGTTCTTCTACTTCTATATCGAAATGTCAACTAAAGAAACAAATGTCACCGATGTTTTTTTTTCACTTCTATGCGTATCGAACACAAGTAAAATAACCAGAGACTAAATTATACAGAACTGAAAAGAAAAAAAGAAGGCGCCCTTTTTACCGTTCATAATTCCTTCTCTCTCGTCTTTACATTCTGGAATTAAATTACACGACAGTATACGATCGATAAAGAAGCACAAAATAATTATTATTTTATACATTTCTTTGTAGTTGAAAGAAAAAAAAATGAATCATAGAACAAGCAGATCATTCAATGATTCAGTTTACTGTAGAATAAAAAATACGCAGTAAATTTAATGCATGAAATATGAGAAATTGTCAATTTATATTTTGTATTTATGTATAATATTCTATTCAATAATAATGAGAAAGATCATTGTAATTTGTGATTATTTAATAAGAAAACGTTCTAGAGAAAATTGTTATCTTTTTCATGGGTTGATAAAAGTTCATAATTGAATTAACTTTTCATCTTTGTACTATTTATAAACATGAGTATTTATCCTTTTCTCTTATGGTGAAATAGAATGAATAGAGGATAATATTAGCCGATGAAATCTCTATATTTTAATCGTCCATTCCACCACTTCGTAGAAAATAAGAAAAGAAAAAAAGGTATCAATGACTCAGATGAAATAAGATTGAAATAAATACTCAAAGATCTATATTAGCTAAATATATGAATGGGTAAAGGTGTAAATATAGATGACTATAATGAACAAAGCATTGAGAAGAACATAATATTGCTAGAGAGTCATGTAGATCAATAATAGATGACGCAGTGAATGAATCTAATATCAGTTGATTGAAATGCATTGAATTTTTTTATCATGAAAAACATTCTTAAATCTAAAAAAATGTGGTGAATTTTAAAGAATGTTAACTAAAGTTGTTGAAATATTTTCATCTGATTGATACAAAATATTCTTATTCAAGATGAAATTTCATCTGTCTTCGATAAAAAAAAAGAGTATTCCGTACAAGGGGGAAAAAGCGAGACTTCATCTACTTCAAATGTTTTTGAAGT